GATCATATCATTTTTTAAGGATGTAGTAAGATCAGGTTTAAGGTGAAAAATCAAATTCAATCCTATCTAATATTATAATGATCCCTTATATACTTAGGGATAAAACTCTTATTTTATTTTTTTCAACTATGATCTTATTTAACCGAATAAAAATATTATATATTATATATATATATATGTCAGGTCGAGTGTGGTCAAATTCGAATTTTGAACTAAAAAATTAAATTTAAGATCATATAGGATTCTCTTAAATGTTGAATCAAACCAGATATGAATTTAAAGATTTAATTTTCTCAATCAATTATTGATAAAAAAAAATCTAAATTAAATTTGAATGAGTGAAAAATCTGATCTGACTTGAACCATCGTAACTCATACTAGAGGTGAGCAAAACTCGACTCGAAAAATTGAATTTTTCGAATCGTCTTGAATTGACTTCGAATTGTAATTTCATAAACTCGACTCGACTCAAAAAAAATCAAGTTCAAATCAAGTTGTAAAACGCAACTCAAATCACCCGAATAACTCGAAATTCTTAGTAATTAGTAGATTAATATTCAAATTTGAGTCGAAGTTTGAATCGAGCTCCTCGATTTTATATGTATGAAGAAAATACAAAAATATATAAATGTATTTATATGATTATAAAATACTATTTAAATTGGAATCAAATAATGTCATAATATTATGAATATTTACAATTAAATTTAACTAGAAACTCGAAAATTTGACTCGACTCGATCGACTATACTCGAATTTTTTAAACTCGCCTTGAAAAAATTTCAAGTCAACTACGAGTTACAAAATATAACTCTTCAACTCGAATAACTCTAATTTTTTTACTCGACTCAATCGAACACTCACCCTCATGCAACTATATCTTAACATCAGAGTTGTATATTCTTAGTAATTAGTAGATTAATATTCAAATTTGAGTCGAAGTTTGAATCGAGCTCCTCGATTTTATATGTATGAAGAAAATACAAAAATATATAAATGTATTTATATGATTATAAAATACTATTTAAATTGGAATCAAATAATGTCATAATATTATGAATATTTACAATTAAATTTAACTAGAAACTCGAAAATTTGACTCCTCGATCGACTATACTCGAATTTTTTAAACTCGCCTTGAAAAAATTTCAAGTCAACTACGAGTTACAAAATATAACTCTTCAACTCGAATAACTCTAATTTTTTTACTCGACTCAATCGAACACTCACCCTCATGCAACTATATCTTAACATCAAGAGTTGTATATAGGCAATTGGCTTAAAAACAGAGAGCTACACTGGGCTGAAGTAAAGCCCAACAATGAAGCACCATTATTGTAAATCCAGTTCGTCAATTTCCTTGTACTATTAGCCCTAAAAATCCCAATTCAACCCCCAAAATTTTCCCCCAAATTTGAAGTTAGAAACACAATTAATTTTGAAGTTAGGAAAAAAGGAAGAATGAGTAACGTTCCAAAAGAAGCCATTGAAGTGATAGCGCAGAGTATTGGCATTACGAATTTGTCCCCAGATGTCGCCATTGCTTTGGCTCCTGATGTTGAATATCGTGTTCGAGAAATCATGCAGGTAAATTTATTCCCCCTTTTTTTGTAGATTCAAATTCGAGTGTTTACTTTAAGAAAATTTAATATTTGTTCGTATAACCTTTTATTTTTTGGATTTTTTTTCTAATTCAAGTCATAATGCTGCAATTAAATCCATGCGCCACTCACGGCGGACGGTTTTGACAGCTGATGGCGTTGACAGTGCTCCTAATCTGCGAAACTTGGAGGTATATTTTAAGTTCTAATAATTTTTGTTCTGCTTATTGTAAATTTCTTACATATATATTTTCTTTTGTTAGTTGAGAATAGTACTAATTAATGTTACTACTTAGTATAATTTTGTAGGAATTTATGAATTTTTGAAGTGATGTCATAATTTCTAGGTCATGTGTACTAAACCAATAAAATTGAATATTTGTTCGTATAACCTTTTATTTTTTGGATTTTTTTTCTAATTCAAGTCATAATGCTGCAATTAAATCCATGTGCCACTCACGGCGGACGGTTTTGACAGCTGATGGCGTTGACAGTGCTCCTAATCTGCGAAACTTGGAGGTATATTTTAAGTTCTAATAATTTTTGTTCTGCTTATTGTAAATTTCTTACATATATATTTTCTTTTGTTAGTTGAGAATAGTACTAATTAATGTTACTTCTTAGTATAATTTTGTAGGAATTTATGAATTTTTGAAGTGATGTCATAATTTCTAGGTCATGTGTACTAAACCCATAAAATTGACCAAAAGTGGAATTTTATAAACTAAATTTTGAAAGTTCGAATCTTTAGTTCAAGTCACGCTTTAAATATTTTTGGGGCTAATTGGCTTGTGTTATTGCTTCTCTCTTGCATCAGCCAATATATGGCTTTACTTCTCGTGATGCACTACGATTCAAAAGAGCTGCTGGGCATAAGGATTTGTTCCACATTGATGACAAGGATGTGGAATTTAAAGAAGTAAGAAATAATCATTGATCTTAAAAGTTCCATCGATACTGCTTTCTATTGAAGACTTTAACTTATATTCGTGTATGTTTTGTAGGTTATTGAATCGCCTTTGTCAAAAGCACCAATTGATACATCTGTCACATCTCACTGGCTTGCAATTGAAGGCATTCAACCGGAAATTCCGGAGAATGCTTCAGTAGAAGGTACTTCTTAGTTAACATGGGCGGGATAAAAGATCCTGAATATTGAACTTCCATAACCTTTTTATCTATTTCCACAAAACCTTCGTATTAGAAATTTAGATTTGGGATTTGATATGTTCTCTGCAGAGGTATTCATGTTGAAGACTGTCATAGTATGTGTTCTTTTTCTGTTTTATTGCTTTAATCTATTACGAACTTTTCTTAATTTCTATGCAAAATTGTCATTTTCTTTCCCTGCAGCACCTTCTGATGGCAAAAAGGCTGAATTCAAAGAGGATGGAACTTCTGTTGATGTTAAATTACCTGTTAAGCATGTATTATCGAGAGAACTTCAAGTATGTTTTACATCTTCAGCAACATTTTTATGTTAAAACACTTTTTTGCTGGGAATGACATTAAGAGACTGATTTGGTTGCTATGCAGCTTTACTTTGACGAGATCGTGGAGAGTACTATGAATAGATCTCTCTCAATTCTCTTTAAACAAGCATTACTAAGCTTGGCAACTGACTCAGGATTACATCCCTTAGTTCCCTATTTCACATATTTCATTGCTGATGAAGTTGTTTTAAAGGTCTTTCATACCTTGTTAATATGTGTGTGGCAAAAGAACCTCTGGTTGGTTATCTCAAGGTTTTGTTTTCCCATGGATATCTCAGGTTGCACGGAATTTAAATAATTTCCTTCTGTTCGCTTTGATGCGTGTCACTCGGAGCCTTCTCCAGAACTAACACATACACATAGAACCTTACGTGAGTTTATTATTTCAATTCCGAACTAAAACATGTATGCTAGTGGTTTATTTTCTGCCTATCTGATTTTTCTTTAAATGTTCTTCAGTTAATCCAATTGATGCCATCTATTATCGCCTGCCTCATTGCGAAAAGATTAGGGAATAAATTCACTGACAATCACTGGGAACGTAGAAACTTCGCAGCAAAACTAGTGGCATCAATATGCAAAAGGTGAAGAATTCATTTTTGGACTTAATACATTGTATATTCATTTTTATGAACTTCAGGAGTCTGTTTAGTTTTGAACTTGGATCTCTGGTGCAATCATTTGTTTATTCATTTTTAGACTGTTTTGTATGTGCAACGAATATGGTACAAGCATGCTTGTCTTGTGAATCGCTTGTCATACCTATTTTGATGATCGTGGATACGATACTCTTTTTACTATGATCTAACTAAGACACGCTTTGCTTTTTGGTACAGGCATGCTTGTCTTGTGAATCGCTTGTCATACCTATACTGGTAAGTTTATTATCCAATTTGATATACCAGATTACGAGCATCCCAGCATGTATTTCCAGGTGATGTTATTATGCAGTAAAACTAACAATGATGTTTAAATTTTCTGCTACCAGCGTGCAGCTGGGCTGTGCATGTGTGATGGGCATAAAATGTTCCCCAGTCTGCTAGCCCCTCCAACTCGTCCCGTCTGGAAAACTAGTGGCAAAGCTGCAACGACAAGTATGGTTTCTTGAAACCATCGTTTTTACATTTAATACACAAGTCTCGTGTGGTCCTTATGTTATGTCTTATTCTGATCAATCTAGATAAACGAAAAGCAAGCACGGACAACTTAATGCAGCAACCACCTGTCAAGAAAATAGCAACCGAGAGTGCAATGGGAATGATGCCAATAAATTCCATGCAAGCTGATTTACAAGGGGCAGCTAGCAGCTTTTCTAACTCTGTAGGAGGTTCGAATATTGGCATATCATCAAGTCCCGGCCATTATCAAATGATAACATGCTAGGAAGGGAGGCTGTCGGTCGAGTTTCAAAGACATCGACTGTTCTAGCTCAGGCTTGGAAGGAAGATACAGATGCAGGGAACTTGTTGGCATTATATTTGAACATTTTGGTGAAAGCATGTTATCATTTACCCCCAAACCTGAGCTTCCATTCTTCCTTTGATTAAATTTTACCTCCGAAGGCAATGTTTTCCACAGTAATTTGTGTAAATCATCTCCATAGTTTCAGTCATTATGTTTACTTTTATAAACCTTTTTCTTTTCATATATGTATTATATGTAGTTATCACAGAATATATTCTACTTGGATTTTATTTATATTGAGAAATTTGTCTGTTTTCTTATGGATTTGGATTTAATTTATTATAAAATAAAGAAAATTATCATATTAATGAATATTTTTAACAAATATATTTATTTGAAAGGGCATAAACAATTGAATTTCAAATTCATGAATATCAATAAATATGTTAAATTAGTCGTAAAATTAACATTCAACAAAATTACTTTAAAATTATTATTTTTGATCAAAATTACATATAATGTCTGAAAGAACAACATTTAACTTGTATGAAAATTGGATACATGAGAGCAACATATATAACAAATGAGAAATTGACAACATCAAATTGCCAACACAATTCCAATTCAAAGAGCATACAAAACCAACATGAGAATACATCGAATCATCCATGTAATGAACAATGAATTCAGAAGAAATAATTCACTCTCCTTCACTTAAAATGGGCACAATGAGCGGCTTCATTTGTGCTAGATATACAATTGCCCACCTATACAAAGCAAATGAAATTTAACATCACAAACTAGAAAGAAAATGAAACGAGACATGTTTTGAAAAGGATTTAGCTTCCTCATCGAACTCGGTGAAGATGTCTGTATATATCACGGGCACAAATACTTCATGAGAAAAGAAGCGGAAACACATAGAAGATGCATGCTTATGTGGTGAATGCAGGAAATGGGTTATTCATATGAATGGTACATAGGTGTATGTTTAAGCAGTGTATTATATGAATATATATTGATAAAGACAATATTCTCAATCGATATGAAAGAGATATCGGATCAATTCAAAACTCTAAACGCATGCCAATATATACATATATAGTCGAGCAACTAGAGAAGAAAGACAAATGAGGAAGAACATAAACTTACATCATCCAACAACAAACAGTTGCTGTAATGACCAATGTTAGGTGCAACCTGCATAATAAAACAAGCAAAATACAGTTTTCCAGTGACAGCAAAGAAAAATAGAGGGAATCACAGCAGGAGATGAAAATCAAAGGGAAAAAAAAACTTCTAGTCTGTAAATGACAAACCGGGCTATACTTAATCAATACGAAAATCCAACAATATCGGGTTTACGAGATCACCAACAATCTCTTATCGGATCGACTAGAGGCAACAAGATTCATTCAAGTTCATAGTAAGCAACCATAGCACAATGAAATCAATAGTTAGTTCACATTGCTAACTTGCTATTCGATCGAAAAGACCCACTTACAGTGTACCATCTAAAAGCTTATCTCATTCATTTATATCAAACGAAATACACACTTTAAACTTCAATGGAACTAATATCAACCCAGACTGAAAAAGGCTACAGATTTTAGCATATGAATATCAAATCCACGAAAACTTAATAATAAAAGAGAATTTAAATGTAAAAATAAAATAAAAAACGGAGAGAGATTGTTAAAAGGGTACTTACAGATTAGCAGATGGGCCTCTGTTACAACAGATTCTGGTGCAAATTGATGCAATTATACCAACCACGGAAAAAATTAGGGTTGTTACCAAGAAACCCATATTCCGATCTCGATTTTAAACAATTTCCTGCGTAGAAAGAAAATTAAAGTTCGTTTAAAAAAAAATCGATTTCGTTCTCAGCAAAGCAAAAAGGAAATTCGGATCAGATATAATTACACTTACTTTCTGCTTTGTTTTTGTGATAAAATGCAAGAAAATAGGCGTTGGGATCTTACAACTTACCTTAATAATTGAAAGTAAAAAGAAATTTAACATTCCCCGGAAAAATCGTGATATCCTTAATAAAAGCTGTTTATTTTGTAAGTTACTTGAATCCGGTTCGGCAAAATTTTGGTTCGATTATTGTGGCGTCGAGTATGAGAACATTATAATCGAACGTCAAATTACTGATAAATACGTCTAATCTACGTTAAACACATTATTTTTTTATATTTTGCTCGTTCAATTATTTTTTATTATATTTTAATTTTATTTTAATTATTCATCATTAAAAAATTAATGTTGATATATATCAACATAAGGTTATCATTGAAAAAATTATAAAAAAATTACATCTACTGTTTTATTAATTTTTAACAACATATTACTAAAATGAAACTAAAATATTGTTAAAGATAACCCAAAATAATAATAATAATAATCGAGTGATCAAAAGAGAACAAAAGTGTTAGTTGAATACTGACCGTATAATTTAGCCAAAGTCTTATAACTTTCCCACTAGAAAGAATTTTGGACGAAAAATTAAAATCCGAAAAAAATCAATAAAAAACATGAAATTCGATCTGATTCTCAAATGAAAATTACAAGTCAAATAACAGTTCATAATTTCCAAACTCAATAAAAAAACTTTACAATCAAAGCCATAGGATTCAAAAGGAAGCCATTGTAACAAACTTACTGACTGGCTGATGGATTAGTCAGCAATTCAAGTGATTTTTTTAAGTGCTCTACTGCAGTCGACACGTCATCGAATGCCAAGGCGCCAACAGCGAACCGAGCCGCCTTGTGTGCCTCAGCAATTTTCTCTGGTGGTGGTTGATAATTGCTGTCATATTGGTATTTTTGAGAAGTAGTTGGTAAAGGTTCTGAGATTTTCCCGTTTCTGCCACTCGAAGAGTATTGAGCTTTTGACGGATAGTTTGTTGCCAGAGGAGCTGCGGGGGGACTATAAGGAGTCTCGGAGCCTTGATAGAAAGAAGGATAGTGAGACGGGACAGCAGGTAAACTACTTTCAGAGAAACTTGGATATGACTGAAAATTAGGGTATGAATACGAGGGAGCTTCGTGGGATTGGTAACCAACTGGAAAATGTGGTGGTTGATCTTGTTGATAGGTTTGATAGTTGTATGATTGAGGGTATGTGGGATTTTCAGATATGTTTCCAGGAAACGAGGGATGGAAGTCTCGTTGGAGTTCTTGCGGGAAGGATTGGTCGTGAGAAGGGTAATTGGCAGAAGGAAATGAATGAGGTGCTGATGAAATATTTGAATGCTGGCAGTCAATCTTATCATGGAACTGAGGTGATGGTGGAATATTACTAGAATGCTGGTTATTTGCTTCATGGAAATGAGGTGGTGGTGGAATATCACTAGAATGCAGGTTATTTGCTTCATGGAACCGAGGAAATGGATCGGAACTTTGATGAGGAATGGTAGCAGCAGGATCATGTGGCCCAAAATCCTACAGGAACAGACATAGATCAAGATTATCGAGAATTTTAGTTATCTGTCAGTTAATCTGTTTATACGATCATAGCCATGTGGCCCGACATATTAGCATTGTTCTTTCTGAGAAACATACATGTGCACCATGAGGTGTACCAGATGGAATCGACAAATCTTCATCACCATTAGGAGGGCCAGCGACGGGCTTCCTACCTTCTTTTATAGCTTTCCTAATATCTGCTGCTTTCCAAACTGCATACTTCTGTTTCTGCTCAAGCTGTAGAGGAAAACAGGAAAGTCATAACCAAAATTGCATCAAAATTAGAAGCACAAACTCTTAATCCAAGTATAACAACTACAATTAGAAACTCACATCAGGCTGAAGAGGGCCAAATTGGTTTATAATATCAAAGAAAATGCTCGCTGCGTAAAATGTCTTTGCCGCATTCCTGCACCAGCAGAAAAAAGTTACTCTAAAATCACTTGTAGCCATATCAAAACAATAAACAACAGAAAAAGGATTGAATGTTGCAACTGAAAGTACTTACTATAATTTAGAAGGTGGTGCAATATACAATTAACCAAAACAGAAAACAAACCATTTAGCTCATCGAAAAAGCTGATTTTCACATGTTATTATCCCTCCAAAATGGAAAGCCTAAGAGGCAAGTTGAAAAAAATACAATTTAATACAACAGCCACATATATAATAAAAGAATATCTACATACAAGTCTGCTCGTCCGGCCCGATCTTGTTTGTCTGCCTTTGAAAAAACATTCAAGGCAAATCCCTCTAGATGCAAATTATCTTCAGGTCCCAACTTCACTGTTTTCTTATCCTGCAATGCATCAGTAGTCAGGAGAGAGTTTTAGTTTCTATACAAAATTTATATATCATACAACTAAATGTTAGAATAATAGACAATCCTACGGTGATGATAAATACAAAGCTCTACGACTATGATTCTAATTAAACAGCATTCAATTCAAACGTACAAAAAAATACATATATTTCTTTCTTCTGAAAGATATATTAGTTACAAATGAAGAAAGAACCTTTAAACAACGTAAGGGGATTACCGACAGCATAAACATTGTATAAAGTCAATATAGCAAAGCAGATCCCAACAATCGATTTTGCACATTAAGATTAAGCCACCAGACAAATCTAAAATAGCACCTGGAGCTTCAGTACCAGTGCAAAACAGCATGATACAATCCCGCTACTGGATCAAATGTCTGACACAATTATGCTTGAGGATGTAAAAGAGGTTAGTGATTATGATAAAACTTGCATATCCTGATGGATTCATGTACAAAAGCAAAAGCTAGGATAATTTCATAAGAAAGGCAAGCCTTGCAGTTACAGATTCTTGGACGAGTCAAAGTGTCAAGTCCACAAGTTAAGACCGTGGAACCGAGGCGGTCAACCTCTTGAAAATTGATACTGATGAGAATAAGAGTACCATGTTGCAAGACAAAATTCAGATTTTCACTCCAGCCAATTCGGGAAGATTTGTGTGAGGCTTGCATCATTACCATCTTGCAAGAGGTTGATCATCAAGGTTCCATGGCCCAACTCATCCAACCTGAAACCCTCTCCAAGGATCCTCAATATCAAGCCTTGCGTTATTTGTTAAAGCACCCTAAACTAAACTCGCTCAGGTCTAAATCATTAACACAAAGCCCAGTTATATCAAACATTCGATCCACTGCTCATATCGTATCACGACAACTCTCAAAAAGCCAAAATTAGACCTGATCGATGAAAAAAAAGTTCTACGAGAAACACCAACGTTTTAAAATTGAATGTCTTCATGCAAAACCACATGAATCGATCATAAACAAGATCTGATTCAACATTATGAATTAAGTTTTCTATAAAAAAAACCTATACTAGACCCAGATTATTAAACAGTTCAAATCAAAATACCCATAAATCAAATTTCAAATTCAGCTAATCATTAAAAAATAAGAAGGAAAAGACGGACCTTTTCAAGCTGGTTCATGAGAGAAACAAGAAGAGCATTGGTGGTTTTGGTTCTCTCGTTATTGGGTATCTTCAATCCTTTTTCCATTGCATATAACCGACCTTTTTAAAAAAAAATCAAAGCATAAAAAAAAGGATCTAATCAACTTCAATAAAATGATTGAAACAAAGGGGTTAAAGATTTTGATTTTTACAGTAATAAGCAACAAGAGGCTCGTGCTTTTGAAGTTCATCGGCTCGTTGAAGGTACGGTAAGAGTAGCTTTGCAGGCTCGTTATCGCTTGCCATGCCCTATTTTCTTCTGTTTTTTTTTTCTTTTCTTTAGGGAGAGTTGCGTTGGGAGGAGTTTTTCAATATGTGAAAGAAACATGAAACTCCGTCGTTTTAAAACATTAGACTCTCCAAAGTTAGGTTTTGAAATGGTAAACTATACAATTAGTCATCAAGCTATTATCGCTTTTTTACTTTGGTCATTAAACGGTTTGATGAAATTATCATCAATCATACGTTTCTTTATTTTAATCATCAAAAACTTTAATTATTAGAATGCTTTAATACTAAATTTCTCAATTATAACATTAATATGAGAAAAGTAACAATTTGTTACTAAGGGTAAACTACACATTTAATGTCTAATTATCATTTTTGTTCCGTTTTGGTCGTCCAATTATTTTTCTTTCAAAATTATATTTAATATTCAATTTTAGTCACTCTTCATCACAAAAATTAATGATGATACTAACATGTCTTCATATTGTAATTTCGCATTATCATTGAAAAATCAAAAATATCATGTTAATAGTTTTGATAATGTTTTAATGGGGGTGACTTAGATAAAACTAAAATTTAACGTTATATATGATTTTTAAAAAATAATTAAATAATTAAAAAGGAAAAAATAATAATTAGGTACTAAATGTGTAGTTTACTCTATTATTAACTGTTATTATATAAGAAAAGTAATAGAAAAATAATATATTAATTTTTTAGAGAAGAAAAAATAAAGATTAAATTGATAAATTTTAAAGAGGAAAGATTTAATTTATTAAATTATTTAGTTTAAAGTAAAAATAAGTACCTAAACTATGCTCTTTTATTGCTTTAGGTACCTAAACTATTTTTAGTCAAATTAGGTACTTAAACTATTATTTTTAATTATTTTAAGTCATAATATTTTTAGTTAGAAAATTATTTTTCAACCAATAAGATGTTAAAACATCACATAAAATTAGGTACTTATTTTGACCAAAAAAAATATTTAAGATGCCTAAAAAAAGGATATAGTTTAAGGAATTATTTTGACTAAAAAATAGCTTATGTACTTAAGCCAAAAAAAAGATATAGTTTAAGTTTTTTTTTTATTTTAAGCCAATTATTTTTAATTAGGACTAGTTTATAGATTATATAAATTTTAGAATTTAAAATTGATATTATATCATGTTATTATTATTTTTATTAATCTAAAGTAATAACAAGTTATAATATATGTTCTAAAGAGTTTAACCATTTAACAATAAGCACTCAAATACCTTGTAATCGTTGGTCAAACTTGAGATCTCGAAAAATATCAATTATTCTTTTAAGTAATGAGGTAGCTTAGTTCATGATCATGCCATGTCATTATTTCATTTAACATTTAATGGTCAATGACCCTGATTATAGGATAAATTACATAAATAGTCCCTGATTATATAACGATATTTTATTGAGTCTATCGACTATTAAAAGTTACAAGATGAACCCCCAACTATATGACACTACTTTATTGAGTCCCTCGACTATAAAGTTACAAAATGGTCACTTGACAATTCATATGTTCCAAACTTATGCATTTTCGTTAAAAAAAAGTTGACAGTCGTCTGAGCTGGACATTAACCTACTAATTAGGATATGATAAAAATCATATGTTAATGATGCCCACTAGCACCATCATTACTTTCAAATATTGGCTCGACGACATAATATTTCAAACACCGACTCAACGACATAATTTAGACAAAGAATCGATCCATGAAATATAACTCAAATAGTGTTGGGATCAAATTTAATCATATCACATTCAATAGGTTAACATTAAATTCATATGGCTGCCATTTTTTTAACAAAAAAACGAGTTTTGAACATATGTATAGTCAGATGATCATTTGATAATTTTTAATAGTCAAAGAATTCAATTAAACATCATCCTATAATCGGAGGATCATTTTGTAACTCATAAGACTCAACAAAAACATCACCCTTTAATTGGGGACCATTTGTGTATTTTACCCTCATTTATATTTAACCCAAAATAAATTTCAATATTTTCTTCACCGAGATATACCACGAATCTTTTGGAACCTGAACTCAGTATTTGTGCAGAACTTTGAGGTTGCAAAAAATGTTTGTTCTCTTGCAAAGTTAATCAAATGCTTAAACAACCTTCCAATAGTTTCATACCTACCAAAACGTTTAACAGTCGATAATGGCTCAACAAACTGCAAATTCTGTTACGAACAATAACCCGATTCAGATTCCATCCAGTCAGGTTTGAGTATTCGTCGTCTTAATAAGTTATGTACTGGATTTCTGCATGTTCTTTGAGCCACTCGAGCACTTTCGCTCCCTCGAGCACTTCTTGTACCTAAACAGTTTCAAAACGACATCAGTTCATTGCTGCACCACGCAAAGTCGAGAAAAGCAAATGACGGAGCATGTATGGGCCAATAACTACATTTGAATGCACCCGAGGTATCCGAAATCTCTCTTGTTATTGAACAGTTAAGGGAATGTAGAGATGTTAAAAGAAGAACCGAGCCCTGACCTTTTCCTTCACATGTTCCTCGTCGTAGTTTTACTTTTAACGTTCAAATTCAGCAATTGATTTCTGTACCTCTTTCACAAGTTCATAGGATGAAAACTGCAGCGTAAACACAAACCAGAACACGTTTCAAAAAGAAATTTTGACAATATCCATTATGTCTGAAGTTTGAACATGAATTACCTGCAAATTTTCTCGTTTGAAAATATCACCTACAGCCAGATTCTGCTTTATCAACTTCGTTATGTTCTCTCTCTGGTTCTCCAAAATCTCGTTCACCGCCTTCGGACTTGACAGCGAATCCAATTGCTGTTCACTTAGCTTCATCTTTGTCTACAATGGTTAAACAACAGATCATATAGCTGGCATGACCATGCATACATGTAAAACACATGCAAAAACAAACACGAGCAGGCGGAAGACAAACATAAAACGATGCTTTATTTATAAGTACATTGTCATCAGAAACAGGCACCAGTTACCTGAATCTCTAGAAGTTTGGCTCCATAAAGCTGCATACCTTGTTCCTCGAACAAGGATTGGGGAATATCGATTTCCACCATCTGATCGAGCATCATTGTCACACCCATCAAAAAAAGTATTCTCAATTAAAATAAACTGATCTTAATGTTACTATTGATAACCTTCCAAAGCTTTGCATTATCCGTTGCTTGGTCTCTCGCAGTTTGCTCCACTTCTCGGCACCTTTGCTGTAACGACTCCTTGACCTGTAGATTCATGCAGCAGAAAGTTTCATCTAAATGCAAATGTCGGGAACTTGGGATTAGAATCAGATCAAACAAAAAATGAAAATTAACAGTTCATAATCGTAACCTGCATCAAGTCAGTGCACCCAGGAAGAAGCTTATCAGCAATAGTCATTTAGCTCTGGTGAATCCCGGTAGAATAGTTCTTTGCATTCAACCTACAAGGAAAATTTCCACAGCGTGTGTCACCCTTCATGTAACCGAAATCGGAATTTTATGGAGACTTTCTTATAAGTTTACAATAATGTTGAAACCACAAAACAAATGGAGCTCACAGTAAATTGTGCGTGCACGCCACGGAGTTTTTCTTGTTGCCATGATTCAGGAAATACAAGCGGAAAGGACTTCGTTTCACCTCGTTGAATACCAATTATGGCATCAAGGAAACCAGGAAGTACACTCAACATCATCGGTATCGAAATGAAATCCTGAAAAGGACGAGGTAAGAGCTTCAAGCTAGTAACATCAAGAATCCAACCAACTGCATGACTCAATTATTTACCTAGAGCTACTCATGATTTAGTTCGAACCGAAATATTGATAAGAAATCTTCCTTTTTGAACCAGAACCAACATTGTGATATATCCATTCTAATGTCATTTTTGACCATCACTTCCGGTAGTCATTCTCATATACTTGAAGTTCAGAACAGAATGGATACAGAACGAATACATTAAAATTCAAAATATAGGCAGTTTGGATCAATATGGTCGACCTTTACATTCTGCAGATGGAATCTTTTGAACATTAGACTCATCTTGGTCAATAGTCGTTGCAGATATATCAAGGACCACAAGATCACCAACCTGGAAATATTTAACCCCGCCATAAGCTATAAATTCCTTAACGATGATAATAGAAGACAAAAACCGACCATCTCAGTTTCATATATAAAATTCAAAAATGCGCGAAAGCAGTTGGAGCTAAAGATTAGAGAAGGAAAGTTTAATCGAAAAAGGCGATAACCATCTAGAAATGGAGAGTTTCTTAAGCTGAATAACCTGTAGTCCTCTGTCAATTACAACTTTCAGCGAACCTATGGACTTGTGGCCGCGCTTTATTTCCAGCTCGCAGGCTCATTCAGGTTTGATCTCATTGTCGATTTCAGCAACAATCTTCAGATTTTTTTATGCATTCTCGGTTACCCATTTGACTTCAGGTACCACATCTACAATGACATCGTAACTAGAAAAAAAAAATCAATGAGCATTTGTATCATTGCCGATGAAGCTTAAGTGCTCTTATTATGTTAAGCTTTCCTCTGGATCAATGTCGATAGGGGCTTACACACGTTTACAAAATTTCTCCATATCAGAAAATTTGGTTATTATGCGAACCGAATCTCTCAAGCCCATCCTAAGGATTATAAAATTTTTGGCAAACATAATTGAACATACAGTAGACATAGCACGAGGGAGTGTCCTTTTCAAAATCGATTCAACCGTGGCCATCTGTACACTTTCCTCCCCAACATAATTCAGAAGAATACTCTCTGGGATCTTTCCTGGTCGAAATCCAGGTATCTGATACATGTTTAAAAACAATAACTTTCAGCATTCAAAGTGAATCTAACAAAGGAAGGAACTAGCACAACAGCATCTCTAGCTATTGAAGCCCTACATTTAGCTATTCAACCAACTATAGAGTTAGTTCTCTGAGCGGCGATCTAATCTAAGGCAAATTTATAACGAGTTTTATGCTAAAATGTTATCCTGTTTAAACTAAAAAATTATACA